GAAAAAGAGTGAGGAAAATCTTTGAACTTGTTTTTTTTGTTTGTTTTTTTTTTTTTAGAAAACACTAATCAAATAAATTATGGTCAAGAAAAAGGAATTTGGGGGAGATGACTGTAGGAGGGAGATAGAATTGCCTAACTTAATTGCATTCCCCCCCACCCCCGCCTCTAATCTTAAGAAGAAAAACAAATGTCAAATGGCACACAGCTCCAGTTTAGAAACAAAACATGGAAGGGCAAGCTTGTTTAAAGTAAAAATAAAAAAATAAAAATAAACAGCACTGGATATTTTTTTCCTTTTACTAAATAGCTGGGAACTCTGAAATAAAAACAAATACTGTCAAAGTATTCCTGATTGTAAAGTACACAGATAAGCAAAAAATAAAAGGATCTCTCTTACATTTGTTTAAATTCCACAAATGTACATAAAGCAGGCACAGCGTGTCAAGAATTTTCCGAAGCATAGTTTTAGAAAATAAGGATGAAATTAGAAAAAAAGATGGAGAGGGAAGGAAAAGAAGTTTGCAACATTAGCCAGAACTTGCAAATGGAAAAGAGTGAAAAGTCAAGCAGTCTACAGTTCTTCTGTAACTTTCTTCCCCAACTGACCAGCCATGAAACCTGATAACTAATATGAGAAGACTTCCCATCACCATGCAACAGCCTTTCTCAACAATATTTTGTACACAAGCAACCAACATATCATTCATTCAACAAACATAAGCTGAATATTTACTGCTACCACCCCGTTTTAGGTATTTGGTTGGGGTAGGGGGGATACAGATGCTGAGACTGAACTCAGACCTAATGAACTTAAATCTCCAATTTTAAATTATATTTTTAATGCCCAGGTGATTCATAATAATCATCTATCTACTGATCTTCCAGATCTGGAAACTCCTTCATTAGGAGGTACAAAAGTGACTTTGACCATTCTGCGATCTCCAGGAGCTCACATAAGTGATAACAAATACATGAACTTCTCCAAAATAATGTTAAAAATGAAACATGATGTGAGAGGATCATATTCTTTATTGTGGATATTCAGAGGAGGGAGGAATAATGGCCTGTTGGGGGTTACTGATTGAGGAAAAGAGGATGTCACATAAATAGGTATGTTCGTGCTTCCCACAAGGTACTAGTGGTAAAGAACCCACCTGCCAATCAGGAGACCTAAGAGATGTGGATTCAATTTCTGGGTCATGTGGATTCAATCCCTGGGTGAGGAAGATCCCCTGGAGGAGGGCATGGTAACCCACTCCAGTATTCTTGCTTGGAGAATCCCATGGACAGAGCAGGATTCAGGACTATAGTCCATACAGTCACAAAGAGTTGGACACAACTGAAACAACTTAACACATATGCTCATGCTTGTATAGTTACCATTTGAACACAGAGAAGGAGGTGGGAAAATCTACTACTCTTATTATAACTAACCTACTACCACTATAACTAAGTCTGCTACCATTACCATTAAACATACTATTATTATAACTAATAATAAGAGACACATTTCCAGTGTTTCTGGAAATAGAAATAGGCTCTGTTCTGGGTGCTTTATATAAATCCTCTCTTGAACCTAAACCAACCAGCTAGGTTCTATTATTTCTATTATCTACAAGATGGGGAAACTAAAGCTTAGAAAGTTTATGTGAATTTTTCACAGTCACAGAGCTGGAGATTGAAGAGCTAAAGTTCAATCTCAGATTGATCCCATTCCAGAGCCTCTGTGTCTCTCAAAGAAGAATAAACAAACCCAGATGTGCAAAAGTGTCAGACACAAAAGATTAAGCATCCATTGCTCCCTCTGGCTGAAGGATGGCAGAGTCAGGGAGAGACTGAACCGGTAAAGTTAAAGGTCAGATAGGCTATAGTAAACACTGTGGGCTCTATACAGTAGCAAAGGGAAACCAGTGAAGCTTTCCAAGCAGAGACTCTTCTGATCAAAGCTTTATCTTAGATTTTAGGCTGTGAATTATGAGTTATATGATACAATCTGAAATGATAGAATTTGAAAGTCTAAAGAGCCTTGCCCTGCCTTTAAACAAAAAAGTGTGCTTGGGATCTAAGTAGAACTACCACCTCACCTCAGAGGAATTACCAGCATGCCAGGACTTAAGGAAGAGTCTACAGAACAGCCCTGAAGATAAATACAATGGATGTCTGCTACCCCACAGCACAAGGACTGACTCATTCCTGGAGCTGTCCAAATCTGGCAAACAGATAGCCCCAGGGACTCAGCATTCCATGGGATCTGAGGTGACCCCAAGGGGCATTCCTGGAGCTGTCCAAATCTGGCAAACAGATAGCCCCAGGGACTCAGCATTCCATGGGATCTGAGGTGACCCCAAGGGGCAGTGGGTGTGCACAGGCATTATCAATTGTTGGCAGAGCCCAGACCTCTGACTCCCAGTCCTAGGCTCAATTCATCAAGGCAAATCACATGTGACACTGGGTAAGCCCCTTTTCCTATCTGGATTCTCCTTTCCTCATTATGATATGAGAAATTGATATCAACAGACCTTAAATTTCACAATTCCCAATCTCTCCCTTCCAATACTTTGGCATAGAGAATCCGCTTCCAATAGTTGCTCACTAACTGGAATTTGGGGGAGCAACAGCATCTCTGGAGAGCTCCCAGAGTTTGCAAACTCCTAGCTGAGAACAAATGTATTTCCTTATCTCTAGGAAGTCTATTATCACAGGATTCGCTATCTCAAATCTTAGTTACAAAGTCCTCACTGAATTCAATCTGGCCCAGGATTATGCTTTTCAAGTGCAGAATGCATCACTGATGTCCAAAGTTAAGTCAACAACACAAGGTACCATGATCATACACAGGCATATTCAGGGAACCCCTCTATCAGCAGGGAATGAACACTTAAGAAATCAAACCTGTCAGAGCCCAACGGTACTCTGTTATTTTCAGAACTTTGGTTTGCGCTCAGAAGATTGCGTGTGTATGTGTTTATGAGTCAAATTTCCAAGAAGCCAAGCAAAGGCTAAAAGTGTGGATTTCTTGGGTGGAGGGGAACACCTTATCTGATGTTCATAAAGATAGTCCTGATGACTCCAACTCACCAAAAATGAATTTTCAAAGGGGTCAGAAGATCTACTTAAGAGATCATCAATTCTGTAGACCCAAGAAACTGTGCCTATTGGAGTATAAATGAACAGGAAGAAGATGCAAGATGTGTTCTGCTCTCAGAAACATTGCTGGTAAAACAGAAATTAGCACACGAACTCACTTATTTTTTAAGGGACTTCTTTAACTTCACTGGTTCATCAGACCACACCCAGTAGTTTACCCACAGAACTACCCATGAGTGACTAACTCCTGTAATCAATTCACTACAAAAAACTGAGGCATATTAAACCTATGGCTTCATCTTCTTTGACTTCCAACAGGAGATGGAAGCAGGAGCGTGATAAATGTTAACATTAACAGTGAAGCAAGGGTAATTAGAGAACCAAAGACACTCACATTCTGAGAATTACCTCACGGTTATTTATTTTTATAGAAGTGAAAATAAATACGCATTCCTTTCCCAGACCTGAAAAAGGAAAATGGACCCAAGATGTGTGACAGAACAATCAGCGGGACTGCCAACCTCACATCTGAGACTCCTGGGAAGAGTGTTACAGGGACCAATCTGGACCACCCACGTTCTGCTCTGGGAACCAGCCGAGTGTACCTTCAGCTGTCGGGTACTCACAGGCCACTCTCTGCCTACTACTGACTGATTTCTCTAAGACTACCCAAAACTGTGATATTCATTTAAGACAAAGCAGATTTATAATTAATACATGTCTCAGCAAATCCTGAAGGATGCCCAAGCAAGTAGAAGACAGATGCTGAAAAGAATTCAGGCTTTCTCCTTATTTCCTGCCCAAGATACTAAATCCAACACTTTAGCCAGAGCACTGTGAGTTAAGAGTGAGTTACAGTTGTGATTTCCTGAGCTCCACCAACAACTGCAAATCTGCAAAGACCTTGTGGGATGAGCTGCAAAGACATCAGAATGTCTGCACCTGGTGTGTATTGTCACCATCCCAGAAATGCAGCCCAGTCCATTGGCTGGCATGACCAACAAACCCCCAAAGCTGCCACTTCAACAGCTGGAGAAGGGACGTTGACAAAGGGACAAAGAAAGGCAAAAAGGGGAGAAAGTGTAAGTTCAGAGAAACATAGATCAGAGAGAGTGGGAGTCTGAGAAACACAGGCTGAATTGTCTCCGCTGAAGCATCCACATGGATCTTCAAAATAGTGAATGTGGGGACAAAGTCAGTACACTGTTTACCTCCGTCACTAACTTCAGGCAAGTTGAATACAAACAAATAAAACCAGAAGGAGGGGGCATCTGATGGTGAACAACTCAGTACAATGCTTACTTCCAGAAACTAGAAGCGCTCTATCAAAGGACAGAGTCAGTACTTTGGGTACGTTGAGTGAGACTGCCTCATACAGAACCACCTCTTACACCTTTGATCTTTAACCTTTGATCTTCCCTCTTTGTGTAGGTGCATGGAGAAAGAGGAATGGGATTCAGAGCAAGTCTCCCTTTAACTCAGCTGTTCCGGGAACACTGTGTTAAACTTCAAAGAAAAGGTGCAGACTAGCCTGCATGAGGGATGAGGGAGCTGAGATGGAAGAGAAACGAGCTGAAGATAGACCAAGACACGAAGCGAGAGGCGATCTTACACTAGATCCGGTTCTGCCAACGTTCAGACATTAGTGCTGAATGGGTACATATCAGTGCAGTCCTCTTTTTGAGAGAGAAGAGGATGCCTTAAGAGCTAATGGCTTGCCCAGATTCATCTAGTCTTGGTTAGAGCTCGGCTCGGGCCACCAGATATCTAGATTCATCTAGAGACAGAACCGCTAAGGGAGACCCAGTCTGACCCGCTAAGGAGCCGCGCGACGGCCAGGAAGACGGGAGCCGCGGGAGGGCTCGAGACATCTGGAGGCGCGGGAGGGCGTGAGGTGTGCGCTCTGGGTACCTTGATGTAGGCCCGCTGCAGGTAGTTGTAGGGCACTCTGCGCTGGAAGTCGCTGCGCACATCCTCGCTGGCGCGGTGGCGGGACGCGGGCCCCCCCAGGCGCTGGCTCTGGCAGCTGCGGTAGCAGCGCGCCCGCTCGAGCAGCGCGCGGAAGAAGGGCAGCTCGGCTCCCGGGCCAGCGCCGGGCGGCGCGAGCGGGCGGCGGGCGGCGCAGTGGCGGGCGCAGCGTGCGCGGATCTCCCGGAGGCGCCGGTGGCTGCGCAGAGCGGCTTCGAGGTCGCGCACAGCCAGCTCGTAGTCCCCGCTGTAGTAGGCGGCCACGCCGCTGGCGTAGAGCAGGTCGAAGGGCTGCAAAGGCCCGGGCTCGGGCTCCCGCTCCGGGTGCCGGCTGTCCGGGGGGCCGCCCCACAGCGGCGGCGGCAGCAGTAGCCAGGGTAGCAGCAACGGCAGCGGCGCCCAGATGCGCTCCCGCATCCTCCGTGGCGGACGGGCGCCGGCCGGGCACGCTCGCAGTCGGCTCCCGGCACCTGGCGTCCGGGTCGCGCGTCTCCCGGCTCCTCTAGCGCGACGGCCGGCCCCGCCGCCAGCCGGCTGCCCTGCGAGCCTCAGGTGACCGGCGGCGCTCGGCGGACTGAGAGGCGGAGGCCGGCTCGGACGGCCGCTCTTAAAGGGACGCCCACAGCTCACACGCTCCTCCCGCTGCCCGAGCCTCCGCGAGCCGCTCGCCGGCGCTCAGCGCGAGCCCTGCAGGCTCGGGCCGCAGCCTCCCGGAGGCCGGAGACAGACACCCCGGTGTCCGCCAGAGAGCCCGCGCCGCTGGGGGCCAGCCAAGGAGAGGCCCCGGGGCGAGCTGATGTATGGGGTCCCTTCTAGGTTGCAGAAGGGACATGATGACTCCCTTTTGTTAGAGAGGAAGAAAAGCCAGATTAGTGACCTTAGAGCTCTCATTTTTTGTAATTTGTGATTTCGCTGTTTGTCCGTCGCTTCAGACTGTAGGAAAGCCCTGGAGGGCCAGTTGGCCCCGTTGGGAGGCTTGAGAAGCAAAGTGCTTAGGCCACGTTCACAGAACTGTGAAAGGCAAATGGGGTCAACCCTCGGCCTTTGGAATCACAACTTACTGCTCATTCTCTTAGGGAAGGTCCCACCCTTGCTTCTCAACCCACTTTGTATGGGTGTGCGTCCGTGCATTAGGGCAGGGAATAGGAACAAAGGGACAATGAACATTCCACTTCTGTGTACAGGAGGGCATTACAGGACCCAGAGAATTGTTGGAATGGTTACACTTAACATCCTGCCTCCTTCAGGTTACCAACCCTGTAAACTTGTGCACTTGAATCTAGTTTCCTCTTCTTCTAGGACAGACAAATATCCCAATATGTCCAATGGTTTTGAGATATAAATTATTTTTGCAAGAGCGGAACAAAGAGGCAATTTAATAAATCCACTACCCCCAGGACTTAAGCGGTGAGCATCAGCCTAGGAATGGGAAAGCTGTCAGAATGGCTGCCAAACTCCAAAGGACTAGCTGGAGGCTATCCTATTCCTCTGTTTCTCCTCCCTTATAAATAGCTCCTGAGCCAAGGTGTTCCCTTCATTCCTGTTCCTTGGCTTCACACTCTTACAAGGATTCCTGAGAGCTTATGCACTGGACCCTTGACTCCAGTCTGCCTCCTGGAAGCATTCCTGTGGTCTCCTAGTGCTTGTAGCAGTTTCACTGGAGTCTCCCTGGCCACTGGGATGGTGAATGAGAGGGAAGGGCAACAGGAAAGAACACTTATCCCATAGTTGATATGAAGCCCCCAAAGAAGGCTTTTATGTGGGATCACCACTATGCCCTGAAGGCTGGCAGAGTTTCATGCTAATTCCTTCACTCATTTTGTTGGGTTTGACCACTTTGGCCATAAACAGTCTCGGCTCTGTAACTCCAAGGGACCCCAAAGAATCTTGCTCTTATTACTTTCCTCCCCCAAACCTCACTGGTGTGAGGCTTATTCCACTGATGGAGAATCTCCACTTTGGAGATGAGTATGTACTGAATACTTCGGATGTTCAGTATTCCAGAATTTGAACTTGGGTTATACTCAGACGTTTGCTCTAAGGATTGTCTCTCTTTTCAGATAAAATCTTTGGAGTCCAGGGTTATTAACCAACTTGTGGAAGGTTTTGAAGCACAATGGCTAGGAAGTCCTGCTATGGGATTGAGGGCAAAGCACCAGGATGCTTTACTATAGATTATCTCTACATTCTGTGACATGAACACATCATTTAATACATGCCATTTAGATTTACATCTTTGTATAAATACTCTCAAAGTAGGTATTTTGGGGGAAAGGGTTATAATATAAGGTAGAAATGGTACATGTTAGACTATGGGAAGGACTGATGCTGAAGCTGAAACTCTAGTACTTTGGCCACCTCATGCGAAGAGTTGACTCATTGGAAAAGACCTCTTATGCTGAGAGGGGTTGGGGGCAGGAGGAGAAGGGGGCGACAGAGGATGAGATGGCTGGGTGGCATCACCGACTCAATGGACAGGAGTTTGAGTAAACTCCGGGAGTTGGTGATGGACGGGGAGGCCTGGCATGCTGGATTCATGGGGTTGCAAAGAGTTGGACATGACTGAGTGACTGAACTGAACTGAACTGGAACTAGATTCAAAGTGCTATAGAAACACGGAACCAGCAAAGATGACCTTCAAGTTGAAGGATCCAAGAAAATGTAGGGGGAAAAATTGACACTGGCACAGAATTGAAAGCTTATTGGTTGTAGCCTTACTAAACTTTCTATTGATCCCCAAAGTGGCATGTGCTATCAAACTTTCTTCATGTTTTATTGTTATAAGGAAAAACAAAGTCTGACTCCATGTTGTATGTGTTCCTTTCATTTTGACTTTTCTTTCCCTATTGTTTTTGTCCACTAAAATGATACTGTCATTTATGTACTGTCCATACATAATTGCTTGCCTTGGAGAACCCTACCCTCTGCCTAAACAGTAAATCAAAATGCCTTTGTTCAAGACCCTGTCCACCTGTGGATGGCTACAGGAAGGAAGAAATTAAAACATACTCTCCCTGAGACTGGCCATTCCAGGAAACATTTGCAACATTAATCACCTTTTTGCTTTTCTTCCTCACCTCCCCTACCCCACCTCTTTTCTACAAATGAACCTAGCATCTAGACCACAATATGACGGTTATTTTGAGACATTAGTCTGCTATCTTCTCAGTCTACTAACTTTCTGAATAAAGTCATTATTCAGTCATTATTCATGCCTCAACACCTGGTCTCCGATTTATTGGCTTGTTGTGTGGTGAACAGAGGGAGTTTGGAGTCAGTAACACTATTATCTTCCTTGGTACAAACCCTATCCAACTTTATAGAAAGTGTTAGACATCTCAATGTTTCCTACACATTGGAATTATCTGAGAAGGCAAATACTGATATCTGAGTCTGATTCTAAGAGCTTCTGGTTTATTTGACCTGGGGTATGGCCTGATCATTAAGATTTTTTAAAGTTCCCTCAGTGACTCTAATATGAAACCAGATTGAGAACCACTGGTCTGGAGTCAAAGCCATAACCCAAACCCAAAGTCTATGAATCAGGGCACCAGGTGCCATAGAGGATTCGTGAATCTAAGATGAGCCATCACTCAGATCTCCCCTCACCATGAAGGACAATCTGATCTACCTTTTAAGACTCAGTCAGAACAGAACTATGTAAACATATGGTAATAAAATTCATTCAAGGTGAAGAATTTTATTCCAGCCAATGCTTTACCTAATGGTATCAACTTTGTGTTGAGAAAAACAGTCCTCCCTGGGTCTCTAACATTCCTTAATGTCTTTCTGAGTATGCCAAGAATGCACTTCTTTACCTAGGCAATTTCTTAGACAACTGGGTACCATCTCAGAGTTCCTGTTTCATCAAATCTTGAGTCAAGTTAAAAAATGTGCATTTCTAACAAGTTGCTTGGTGATGCTGAGAATTTTGCTGCAAGAATCATACTTTGAGAATCACTTCATCAATACAATTCCACATGAACAGTGGTACTCAAACTTTGCTGTATGTGTCAAGGCTAATTAAAACACAAAATACAGAGGCCCTATCTTTGTAATATAATCAAGTTTGGGCCATTATGTTTTTACCAAATTCCCCAGAGGTTCTGATACCCACCAAATTTTGAGAACCATTCCTTTAATTAATGACTTTTTCACCCCATTTGACAATGTCTGGAGGTACTGTTGGTTGTCACAACCAGGGGAAAGAGTACAGTTGTACTGTAGGCATCTAATTGGTAGAGGCTAGGGGTGATGTTAACCACCCCTTGCTGAATAAGACAGCCTCCCAGAAGAAAGAATTATCCAGTGTAAAGGATCCATAGTGTACAAGTTGAGAAACCCTTGGATAGAGCATGGTTTGAGCACTGCAAGTCTTACTCAATTCCCTTACTTTACAAATGAGGAAACTTAGGCCCACAGGTCACATAGATAGGCAGTGTTGGACTAGTGTGCTTAACTTTATATACCAAAGCATAAAACTAGTATGCAGAACATTGTGGAGCACTGATAGTAGCTTTGTAACTGTTTTTTAAGAGAAAGAAAACAAATGACTGGAGAAAAGGAGCCATTGGAAATATAGATGTTGGAACTGCTGCTAAGATGGGTATGAACTGGGAGCCTGCAATTTTGCTTTTGTTCACCATTCCTTACAAACTCAGAGACAACCAAAGCACAAGAGAATCCATCCAAAAGCTCTAAGAGGGATTCAATCATTGTCTTTTAAAATTATATTTGGAATAAGTCTTGACAGAAGATTGAATTTCCTTTTGACTTCTGTTTATAAGTCAATGGAATCATCACACCCCTTGCATTTGGGAACCTCCAGCAGGAAGAAAACAGGAAAGGGAAGGTCTTCAAACACTTCTTATTTTCCCCAAATCAGCTACCTTTTTTTTTTTTTCAAAGCTAATTTTTCACTTTCCTACAAAATCTTTATGGAGCAATAAAAAGTATGTTCAGACTTTAGCAGTAGACTCAATAGACACTTTCCATAAACAAATCTAATACTCGCTTATTTTGATCATGTGTAACTAGAGATCTTGCTTACCCCGAACATCTTTGATTCTCTTGAAATGAAAGGGATAATTCTCACTGTGCAACAACCTGGGCCTGTTCAGTTACTGTTGATGCTGGCCACAAGGGAACTGTTTGGAAGATTTTTTTTTTTTCTTATTCAAATAGCATCATCTGAAAATTTTTTTCCTCCAAATAAGTTAGTGTGAAAGGCAAGCCACCAGTAATCTGTCAACATAAGCAAGAAAGAGAGAATGAGGCCTCCCTACAGGAAGAGCGATTTTTTTTAGAAAAATTAATATTTAACTTACATTTAAAATCAAACAGGAGCAGCCAGATTCCAGGACTGTCTGTTCCTTTCCAATTTCCTTAATAGCTCTGTCCCTGCTTACCTTAATTCC